GCCGTGTTCGAGGCTTAGGCATGGGTGCAGTTCCAACTGTAGTATTCAAGCAAACATCAAGATAAGGTGGTTGTTCTTATATGAGCGCAGCTAGCACTAGTGCTCCACCTCCACAATGGGTGCAAGAGATGGCAAATATGAGATCACAATTAAATGCGCTAACAAGCTTATTTCAAATGAAAATAGGAAATATCCCGAGGAGTTTGCTCACTTATTTCCGACTCCTTCACAGGTAAGTCTTCTCTTTATTTTTTCTTGGTCTATCAAGAAAACTCCACTGTTCAATCTCTTCAATCACCCAAGTCTCCTCAATCTTTGCTCTATAGTCTATGTTCTTTCCATATCTGTAAATTGTTGCTGCAGTCTTCCCACTGTGAGCAATGTTGATACCTTCAATATATCTATAATACACTTTTGCGGGGCCATTTTCATATATGTACCAAGTTAAATGTGGAGGTTCAGTTTAGTATATAGGGAGTAAACTAACATCTTATTATAAAATAAACAGCAATAGGAAAGAAAATAGCATTCTATGCTTTTAGAATGTGTTAGATACGTTTCTTGACATAATTTTTGTCTGCAAAATAACGATCTTGTTTCCCAAAACAAGGTTCAATGTGTGAAATATTTGAAGGGGAAGGATTAGGTCCTCGCGTGGATTGAGTTGGTCTTGAATATCTCCAATAGAAAGAACAAAAGCTTTCATATGTGACATACTACTTGTGCTATGGGGAATCATGATACTCTCTCATTGTATGATTTTTAGTCCATCAGAATGGAGAATCAACAAGTGCTAAAGGCAATTACTTAAATGTTTTCTGAGGAAAGAAAGTACTTTCGACGTACAATTAATATAACCCTAACATGTAATTTGTTTCGAGTTTGCAGCTGCATTATTTTGTTGTGTTAGTTACCTAACATAGCTGCTTCATTTGCACTAGTTGCTGCTATGTGTAATATTGACACATCCGTATATATAACTCATATATACCTGAATTAAGTCTACATTTGTTGTATCAGAGTTTGCTAGTGCTTGTGGCACTGTCACCCGTCCTTTTGAATTCTTTTGTTGGTTTTTGATATTTTGCATATTCCTCTTCAATTGATCCGCAAAGGCAATGGTTTGGTAATCAACTTTTCAGTGTCCGTAGCATTTTAAATTATGATGGAGAAGGCAGATCCTTCACAGAAACTATATACAAGGATGCGACTTTGGGAATTCCCAGATCAGTATGTTGTTGAGCCTACTGATGGATCTTGTGATTCAATATTGTGTGATGAACAACTTCAATATTTGCCGTACTTTGTGCCTTGAGCATGTCTATGCTTGATTCTAGTTTTAGAATAAAACATTCTTCATCCTTAATAGTCTTTTCTCCAACGCAAATAGCATTCAAGAACAAATTGCAGATTTATTGTCCTGTTTCAGTCTTATCATGTCAAAACAATTAGAATTTGTATACTGTCATGTGCTTGTGGTGTTTGGTAAACCAGGTCCTGATTCTGTCATTATTACTTATTATGCTTTTGCTCATTATGCATGGTATTGTACAAAACAATTTGAATTACTTAATCTTATTTAATGTTATGTTATGCAGGCACCCAATCTAGGAGATGGCATTGGAGTTGGCGTTGGAGATGGCATTGGAGATGGCGTTGGAGATGGCATTGGAGGTGGCGTTGGAGATGGCGTTCCGTCACCAACTGGGCCTAGAAGATCCTTTGACGGAAGTAACTATGAAAATGGAGCAAACAATAATTAGTAATCATTGTTAGGATGAACTACGTTTTTTTGTGTTGTAACTATTGAGTAACTCTCTTAACTCTCTTCACCTTAAACTTGAATCTTGGATGATGTGGATTTTGGGTATGTTTTAATATGATGAATATTTTGCTTATCTAATTCTCTACTATAATTTATGTTAATTATTATGGTAGGTGCTTGATAACATATTATGATGGATTTTGTGCAGTAGAAAGGATAAAGGATTGGAATTGAAAAATTAACATTAAAAATATTACAATTATGGCAGTATAAAATGGCCAAAATCTGAAAGGGACAACAATTACGGCGGTTACAAACCGCCACAATAAGCAAATTAAATAGCCGTATTTACATATGCATACTGCGGCGGTTCGCCGAAAACCGTCATATTACACGTTTTGGCAGTAGCGATTACGACGATTATCTTGTACGTCATTAATGATAATAACAACGGTTCTTAACCGCCACTATAAGCAATTATGACCGCCGATTACCCCAGTATTTTGTAGTGCTTTGATTGACTAAAAAATATAAGAATTTGAAGTTAGTCCCGAAGAACATATACAACTAGTGATTAGGAGCAAGGAGCAGACCAAAACTATTCTAGAAGAAAATAAACAGTTAGCTATTAGCAGCAACGGAAAAAGTCAAAACCAGATACCAGACCAGACCATGATTTCTGTTCCAGAATAACCAATTTTCCTCTCAATAAAAAAGCTTGTCAAAATGAGGCCCTAGGTCCGCCATAGCCAAGCAGTTGTTGAGAAATGCGAGTAGAGGTAAAGAAGAAGAAGTGAGAGAAGAGACGGGAAGAAAGAGCATAGCTCAGCTCATATTTTCACTAACTAAAAAAAAGAGTGTACTGTACATTACATATATACTAACAACTAACCGACTAACCTCCTATTTATATCTTCTAGAACAGTACAAGTTAAATAGCCTTAGGTACAATCTTTACAAGCTATTAATTTCTACACTCCCCCTCAAGTTGAGAATGAAAAATATTTTTCATTCCCAACTTGGATACTAGAACTGCATGTTGTTGGTGTCCCAAAACTTTTGTCAAGATATCAGTTGGTTGCTCATTAGTCCCAATATGTGTAGTCTTGATTAACCTCTCTTGAATTTTTTCCCCTTATAAAATAACAATCAATCTCTATGTGTTGTGTTCTTTCGTGGTAGATATGATTTGCAGCAATTTGCAGGGCAGCCTTGTTATCACAATACAACTCCATAGGTTCATTGTTGTCTACTGTCAGTTCTTTCAGCAAACAATTCTACCATGTTAATTCTGCCACTGTGTGTGCCATGCTCTTGTACTCAGCTTCAGCTGAGCTCCTTAAGATGGTAGTTTGCTTCTTTGCCTTCCATGATATGAGGGAACTTCCCAACTTGATACAGAACCCTATAATGGATTTCCTAGACATGGGACATGATGCCTAGCCTGAATCACAGAATCCCTGAACCTTTTCTGTACTGTTGCATGACATGAGAAGACCAAGTCCAGGCTGATCCTTGATATATTTCACAACATGTAATGCAGCCTCATAGTGAGACTTCTTGGGAGCATGCATGAATTGGCTTAGACTTTGTACAACATATGCAATATCGGGTCTTGTGATTGTCAAGTACAGAAGCTTTCCAACTAGCCTTTGAAAAAGACTTCTGTCTTCCAAGATAGTGTCATCAACATTCTCATTTACTATCCTATCAAATTCTGTGCTTGTGAGCTTCAAATTTTGTTCCATTGGAGTCTTCTTGGCTTTGAACCTGAAAGTTCAGCCTTTAAGATCATCTCCAAGGGATACTTTCTTTATGACATGAAGATGCCTTCTGCTGATCTAGCAATTTCTATTCCCAAAAATTACCTCAACTGTCCAAGGTCCTTCAGTTTAAAGTTCTGATGCAAAGATGCTTTTGATTTATTTATCTCCTCTTGATCATTACCTGTAATAAGCAAGTCATCTACACAGACAAGTATGAGAATAAACTTTCCATTAGTTGCCTTAGTGAACAAAGAGTAATCATGTCTACTTTGATGAAAACCAGATTTGAGAAGTGCCTATGTTAGCTTCAAATTCCACTGCCTAGAGGCTTATTTTAAGCCATATAGGGATTTGAGTAGTCTACAAACTCTATACTCCCCTTGACGACCAAATCCTTGTGGCATAGTCATGTAGACTTCTTCATGTAAGTCAACATTTAAAAAAGCATTATGGACATCCATTTGAAAGACGAGCCAATTTCTGAGTGCAATATCTACTGTAACAGTTCTCACTGTGGTCATTTTGGCCACGGGTAAGAATGTGTCATGAAAATAAATCCCTTCCTGTTGGGTATAACATTTTTGCAACCAATCTAGTCTTAAACCTTTCTACTATCTCATCAACATTGTACTTAACTTTGTACACCCATTTACATCCTACGGGGACTTTGCCAGGGGGTAAATCTACTACTTCCCAAGTATTGTTCAGTTCTAATGCTTTAATCTCACGTTTCATAGCCTTGATCCACCTGTCATCTTTGACATCTTGAGAAAGAGAAGTTGGCTTAGTGTTTGAAGAGAATGAGGCTAGATAAGATTGAAGAGAGAGAGAGAGAGAGAGAGATGAGAATAAGAAATGAAGAGATTGATAGGGTAAGGAGATGAATTGGAGGCAGAAGTGGAAGGTTGAGGAGGATGCACATAATCAGTCAGCCATATAGGAGGTTTGGAGACCCTACCTAACTTTCTTACTTGTGTGGGATTGATAATTTGAATAGCACTTGGATATGGGGATAGAACATGAGTGTCAAAAGAGGAATCAGTAGCCAAAAGGAAGAGTAGAAGAAGAAGAATGATTAGAAATAGAAGGGGAACTGGCAGGGGAAGTAGGAAAATGAGTAGGTGGGTCTGCTGAATCACTTCAAGGATCAAGTGTTGTGACTTCTGCTTGAACATTGGTACATGGTTCTGGGGCTATGGTAGAAGGAGGAAAGATATCTGATATAGGACAAGTAAGATTTGGATCAGGGGTAACTAGGAATCTGTGTTTGGGATGTTTGAAAGAAAAAATCCCTTCCTTGAAGACAACATCTCTATTGACAATGAACTTATTAGAAGCAATATCATATACTTTATATCCCTTTTGTGTTGATGCATATCGCATGAAGACTCCAGGAATAGATCTAGGATTGATCTTATCATGGAAATCAAGTTATGTGGCATAGCAAAGACATCCCATAGTTTGCATGTGGTCAAAAGAAGGTGGTTTCCCATGGAATACCTCATAAAGAGATTTTTCTTGTAGGACAGAACTAGGAATTCTATTAATGATGTATGTTGTTGTTAGAATGCAATCCCCTATAATTTTAAGGGTATGTTGGCCTAAAATCTTATGGCTCTTCCTATTTCAAGAAGATGTCTGTGTTTTCTTTCTACAACTTCATTCTTTATGGAGTGTGTACACATCTTCTTTGATGAACTATTCCTTTGGATTTGAAAAGGTTGGAACAAAGAGAGTTAAAGAATTCATGCCATTATTTGACCTCACACATTTGACAATAGTACCAAATTGATTCTCTACAAGTTGAAACAACATACACATCACTTTTGAGTCTCAAAGGAAAAGTCGAGGTCATTTTGGTATAGTCATCAACAAGAGTTAGAATGTATTTGAAACAATTGAAAGTACATACTCTATATGGTCCCCAAACATCCATGTATAATAGTTCAAAAGAAGAAGTAGATTTGGAAGTACTAATAGGAAATGGCAATCTAACTTATCTAGAAAGAGGACAAATAGGGCAATTACAAGTAGATGAATTAGATAAGTACTTATTTATTTCAGGTATAGCTTGCAAGACTGTCATGGGGACATGCCACAATCTTTGATGCCATAAGAAGCTTGAACTTGGTTGATTTAAAATTGTCGTACATTTGGAGGAGGAAGAAGCAGTAGCATGTGCTGAAGGATTAAAGATGTAGAGCCCTAATTTGAGTCTACCAATACCCCTTCACCATGCTACCGAAGAGGTCCTGAAAGATACAAAAATCAGGATAAAAGTGGACTACACAATTTGACTCTTTTGCATAGTTGGAGATAGACAACAAATTATTCTTGAATTCAGGCACATATAATACACCATGAATGGTTTCTGAGTTAAATAGATTGCATGAACCAGTGTGAATAATTTTGGTGTTGTTACCATTAGGCAGATGCACTGAAGAAGATTTAGCTTCAAGTATTTGAATGACACTAGATAGGAGATTCAAGGATGATACCATATGATTTGAAGCACCAGAATCAATAATCCAACAACTGTGTTCAATTAGTGATTTACCCGCCAAGTTAACGACTTATGTTGGCTGAGGTTCCTTGCTTAAAAGCATGAGAATCTGCTAATATTATTCTGGAGTGAAACCCTGCACAGTTGGAATAGTTGGAATATTCTGCATAACATATGTATTTCCTACATTTTGAGACTCATCCCTTGCATTCACATTGAGCCATGAGTCCATTATTATCTTGTGTTCCTCTCCTCCTGTTGTGATTGAACTTGAACCCTGGTGGAAATCCATTTAGTTTGTAGCAAGTCTCCCTTGTATGTCCCTTCATTTTGCAGTAATCACACAACAATATATTGTTCCTCCTTGGTCTCATATTAGAAACATTTGCAGTTACAAGTGCATTGATGTCCATACCTCTAGGTGCACCTCCTAAAATCCCACTTTGTGTAGAAGATCCACTACTCATTCTCTGACTTTCCTCTAGGTAATCATGGAATATGCCTGGTCAAGTGTTGGTGTTGGATGAATCATCAATATTTGACTTTTTTGTGGTGCATAAGTTTCATTCAAGCCCATCAAAAACTTCATAAACTTCTGCTGATGCAAGAACACAACAAACTATCTAGATTTCTCACAATCACAATCAGGAAATGGGATAATTAACGCAAATTCATCCCATAGATCATTCAGCCTAGAGAAATACATGGATACACTAGAGATTCCTTGTGTCAAGGAACTTATTTCCTTGTTCATGTGATAGATTTTTGTGGCATTTACTTTATCAAATCTATCTTTAATGAATTTCCACACTTTTTGTGTATCTGAGGAGTATACGATTCCTCTTCTAAGTTCTGGTACTACTG